ACAAATGATGAAATAAAATGAAAAGATAAGATATATATTCTAAAAAGAAAAGATAAAAGATAAAAATAAATAAAATTTGTTGATAAACCATTTTTAAAGTATTTCTAAATTATTATTGAACCATTTGTAAACTGTTATTGATTTTAAGACTAATTATTCATTAATAATCTTAGAATTTTGCAAAAATATTGCAAGAATATTATTGAATCATGATTGAATCTATAATTAATATACTAATTATATTATTTGAAATCACATATTGTTTAAAGATCAATTGATTGGTCACATTTTCCAAGTTTGAAAAATTATGAAATTAAAAAAATTTATGTTACTATGGTAATACTATATTTAACTAGTTATATATTCAGATAAAGAAATTTTTGTCATCTTTTATAATAAGTACAGGAAAAAATTCAAATAAAAAATTATTACTTTGATATTCTAATTATATAAAGAGATTTTTATATTATATAATTTTGGATGATAGGATTTAAATAATTAAATACTTATTAAAGAGAGTTTTTAGATTATAATAAGCAGATCTAGATATGATTTATATGATTAAATTTTTATGTATTATCAAATAGATAGATATATAAAGATAAGAAAAAATATGAAAAATTTCTGATATATTAGTTAGTAAGATAAGTAATTATATTTCAAAAAAAAATATATATATAATAATATATACTAGATAGTTAATAACTATTTTTGTATTACATATTTTTAATTAAGATAAAATTATATTTTAAATATCTATCAGATATATATTATACTTTGAATATCTATCAAACATATATAAAATAAAATTATACTTTGGATATCTATTAGTATAAAGATATCAACTATATAAGAAATAGTTCAAAAATTATGAAACATAAATAATATTCAGTAACATATCAAGATAAAATTATTACAGATATATATAATATAAACTTATATTTTGAATATAAAAATCAATAGTATTTTAAAGTACTTTTAACATGAAGTAATAATATTTAAAAGTATTAACTATACAAGAAAGATTTTTAGAATTGCAAAATATAATATACTAATGGTAAATATCCAAAGTAAAATTATTATAGAAAGATATATATTATAAAAATTATACTTTAAATATCTATCAAATAATTATTAACAATTTAGTATTACATATTTTAATCTTGATTAATACTTAAGTATATTATAATAGTTAATAATTTAGTACTATATATCTTATTATTAGATGATATTTAAATAAATTATAATAATTAGCAATTCAATACTATATATCTTATTATCAGATATTTTGATATATTATCAAATATGATAATAATTTGATATTATATATCTTATTCTTAAGTAATATTTAAATAAATTATACAAAGTTAATAACTATTAATAATTTAGCACTATATGTCTTATTTTCAGATAATATTTGAATATATTATAATAGTTAATAATTTGGTATTATATATCTCATTTTTCAATAATATTTAAGTATATCATATAAAAATTATAATTAATATTTTAGTATTAGATATCTTAACTATGACTCTTATCAAGAAATTAAACAAAAAGCTAAGATACTATATATCAGATTTGAGCATAACTCTCATATTGAACTTACAAATGATAATATATAATTGAATGTATCATTAATATATTTTTTTTTCATGTGATCTAATAATGAAAATTGATTATAGTTATTAAACTGATATATATTATGTTATATGTAAGTGATAACAAAAATTAGTCACTATCATCATGTAGTCTGATAATATATGTATAATCTTATTATCATATTTTTATAACATGTGAGATACTTAAGTTTGATGACAGATTCATGAACTTATCATTATTCAAGTGACAATGCATATGTAATCTTGTCATCATACCTAAGATTATTATAGTTTAATCTAAATTTTTAGTTTATATAAACTAAAAATGTCTGATAATAATAATAATAATAATAAAATTAATTTAATTATAAATTCCTATTATTTTATTAAAAATTAATTATCAAACATTTAAGAATATAACTTTATTTAGCTTGATTAATTTTATTATATTAAAATCAATATTAAATATAAGTAATTTTATAAAATAATAAACAAAAAAATTTAAATAATCAAAAAATTTGATTGTTTGATTTTTACTAACTGTTCCATATATTTTTTAATAGTTATACATTTCAAAGTTATTTTGATAATTAGACTATTTATATCATATCTCAAAGTATTTGATGTAATTATATAGAACATAATACTAGATTGCATGATTCGCGCCCAATAATTTTAATTGATTAGTATTACAAGATGCGTCAAAAGGGAGATCATATTATCATGATTAATCAATAATCAGCTTCATAACAGTCTGAATGAATACATGTTTTTCCGTTGTGTTTAATTAAATTTTACTGCATTTAAAATAGCTCTTTGCACAAATTCATAATTTTCAACGCGATTCCATAAGGTAAAGAGGGGTATTATGGTGGAAGTGGTGATTACTAAGAATGTATTAGTAGCCTGTTATATTCGCCATATTACCGCTTAACCTCGCTATAATAACCCCTTTACCTTATGTCCCTCTTTATTGTTTAAGTGTTAATTTTTTGACCCTTTTCGAAGAGATTTTAGTTCAGCTTCTTGTCGCTCATACGTGCGTTGCAGGAATTCTTGTTTGTCAACAAATCTAATGGTCAAAAGAATCGTGCAAATTAAAAACGTGTTCAATTATAAAAAAGTGAGTTATCACAGTACTTGCCCACTCTTATTATGATATTTAAGTTCATCAGCAATTCCTTCCTTGTAGACAAACTTGTTCCAATCCATTTTGGATTTATCAAGGGTATTTATCTTTGTGGGTTTATTTTTGAATGAAGCAGCTAATTGATCTAAATTGGACTTTGGTCGTATAGGCTTTTTGCTGTTGTAACTTGCAATTAACGAAGCTTTTCTACTTTGTGACTGGTTTGATGTTGACGACAATGAAGTGGGCGTGGATGATGATTTCTTTAGATTATTAATGCTATTATTTAGTTGTTCTTTAGTGTCATCATTATCTGTTTTTATATCTGAAGATGAGGAAGACAAAGTCTCTTGTTGTTTTGAATGGTCAATGGAATGCTTTTTTTCTTGTTCTAATAAGAACCTCTTTGCTTCTTCTGAATCAGCGTCTACTTCCCTTGTTTCCCTGCAACAGCATATTATTAGTCAAAATTAAAATAAATATTTTTAACTTAATATAATTCATATATTTACGTTATTTCTTCACCAGCGAATCTAAAAGTCTTCGTTATTGTAATCATCTTTTAAGATACGCATGAGAATAGATAAAAATAAACATTTAGCAAGACAGAACAACAAAACATTAATAATCAGTCTTCATTATATACTAACATTTGTAGTCATTTCTTTTTTTGTGGTATACGAGTCATCTTTAGATGGTGATGATAAAGACGACGATGATAACGTGTCAGCACTGGTTTTTGGCTCTCTGTTAAATTCTGCCCATAGAGCATCAATGTTGCTTTTTTGATCTCTATGAGAAATTTTTTCGTCGTTTGAAGTTTCTTGAATCCTAAATTTCAAGTTCAGCATAAATTTTTTTTTTTGATTAAAACAAAATAAAAAAATAAACTCTTAGGAGCGTAAAAAATATTAAATATAAACCTTGGTCTTTTAGTATTATTCTCGGAAATTGGATTCAAACGTGTACTTTTTTTACGTTTTCCGTTACTATTAGTCTTTTCTACACTGTCACTATCTTCGGCCTCCTGTGTAGTAAAATCTGTTTCACTATCACTATTTTCCTCGTCTTTAACATTTGAATTTGTAAAAAAGTGTTAACCACAATTGCTGATAGAACAGAGTGTAGCATTTGGAAAGCAAATCAACACCTTGAGGTACGTAATCAGCATCTTCAGAGTCGGAATCGAACGTGTATACTTTTTCGGGGTCGTGCGGGTTCATTTTTTTATATTTTTTTTAACGTTATCCCAATTTATTAAATAACAAGTCTAGTGCACGTGACTATGCATTATTGCATGAAAATCAATTTATTGAACAAAAATAATATATGAATAGATAATAGTAAGTTATCAGATTCATTTTATTAAATTAATTAGCAAAACTATATATAAATATATTAAATATAAATGAATAAATAATATTTTATATCAAAAAAATATTATTTAATTCTAAAAATTTTTTTATATAATTAATTAATTAATTAATTAATTATAAAATAAATAAAATATATATTATATATAATATAATAAAATATAAATTATAATAAATCTTTTTTTATTTAATTATTTTTATTTGTAAACTTTATATATCTAGTTTTTTTTATAAATAATAGAATATATTTTTAAGTATTTATATTTAAAATTTAAAAAAAATTAATTATATTTAAATTAAGAAATTAATAAAAATATAATTTCAATTTGAACTTGCATTTGTAAATTTTAATAAAATAATCCTTAAAAACTATTATGATAATTTATATTTAAATAATAAAATTTATTTATATTTAAAATTTGATGAGAATTAATTATATTTATAATAAGATATTAATAAAAATATAAATTTAATTCTAAATTTGATATTATTTTTTAATATATTTTTATAATAATATTAAATATAATTTATAATTAATATTTATAATACTAAATAATTTTAAAATTTGAATAATTTTTTATTATTTTATATATTTAATATTATAAAAAATTATATTAATATAATTAATTTTTTAATTTTTATATTTATTTTTAAATATTATTTAATATATATAATTAGTAAATTATAAGAAAAAATTTATTTATTAATTTATTTATAATATTTATATAATTTTTTAAATATAATTTTATTATTTATTAAATTTATTAAAATATAAGTTAAATATATTTAAGATTTTTCTTATAATTATTATATTAATTTATATTTAATATTTTATAAATAATAAAATAAATTTTCAAGTATTAATCTTTAAAGTTTAAAAAATAATTGATTATATTTAAGTTAAAATATTAATAAACATATAACTTTAATTTAAAATTATATTTATAAAATTTAATAAAATAATTTTAAAAATTATCATAATAATTTATATTAATTTTTTAAGAATAATAAAATTAATTTTTAATTATTTATATTTAAAATTTGATAAGAATTAGTTAAATTTAAGTTAAGATATTATAATCATTTATCTATTTGTATAACATAGTAAATATAATATAATATATAATGCAACTGCAATACATGACATAGTAATTATCAATTATTATTAAATTAGATAAATAAGAAATTTATTAATTAATTTAATTTATTATTAATTCTATTTTTAATTTATATTATTATCTATATTTAGTTTTATTCTTTATTAATTTAGTTATGTGTATTATACTTTAAATTATAGTTTTATTAAATTAATAATTTCTTAATTAATTATTATTAATTTTCTTTCTTTTCTTATTTTAGTTTTGAATAATTTAATATTTCACTAATTTTAATTTTTAATTATTATGTATTTAATATTTCTTGTGATTATTCTTTTAAAATTCTACTTGTTCTTAAGTAAATTAAGTAAAATATTGTGTTAGAATTAATTTGTAATTAACATAGTAAGAAAATATTATATATAGAAAGTCAAGAAGTGATCAAGAAGAATAATTAAGTTTGATAGAAAGAATAGTTACTGAGTTAAGAATAGTTAATTAGTATTTTTCTTTAATAAATATATATTTTATTAAATAATTACTATGAATACAGTTATTCTTATTATTTTAAAATATTTATATATGTATAAACTTAAAATAGTAATAATCTTTTTGATACTCTCTCTATAAAAGCAAAATTAGATATTAAAATTAATAAGCAATAAATTGAATCTAACAAAATCAACTAATTACAAAATAAAAAAACAACTTCAGAAATTAATCAACCTCTTTGATCTATCTCAATTATTCAGATAACAAGAAAAGAAATTATGTTAATTAGTTTATAATTTATTTATTATAGATATATCAAAAAAAGAAATCTCAACAAGTAAATATCAGTTATAACTTTGATTTTAAAAATATTTAGTTCATATCCTAACTAAGATAATTGATATTATCTATTATTTACACAAGAAAATTACTATATTTAATCAACAGAAATTATATTTTATCTAGTAATCAAGATCTAACACTCTAATTAATATTCTAGTTAGAGCTTTCATATCAGTTCTATCATCATTCACTTTATTTTTAACATCTAATATCTTCTTCATTAATCTTTTGAATAAAAGAAAAACTATCCTAGTCCAATTCAGAAATATAATAAAAGAAGAGTTATCAGATAAAGAAGTTTAACATTCTATTATTTTAGATCTATTTTCACTTCAATCTCAAAGAGAATAAGAAAATATAATAGAACAAGCTATATAAGTTCTAGTCCAAGTACTTAATTTACTTGTTTAAGTAATATAAGCTTAACAAATTGAGTTATTAATAGTATTATTTTTCTTTTATAATGATAAAATATATAAAGATTCTATAAACTGAATTAAAGAGTTTGAGTGCTTAGCAAATACAAATAATATAACTAATACAAGAAAAGTTAAGATAATACTTACATACTTAAAAGAAGTTGTATCAATATAGTTTTAATAAAGTAAACTTGTAAATAATGATTAATCCACTAGTTAAAAAAATAATAATGATAATACTTTATTTTATCAGACTTTTATTATCTAGTTTAGAATAAATACTTAAATCTTAGCATGATAACAATAGCTGAAATTGAGAGTATAAGAAATAAATAAAGATATAACTTCATATATTAAAGATATTTACATGCTACTCTGAAAAATTAATTCAACAAATGTATATTCAGTAATCTACTATATTAAGCAATTTGTAAAAGACTTGAAATCAAAAGTTATCTTTTATGTAAATAAATCTAATTCAGATATCTTAGATATAATAATTACAGAAGTAATCAATACTGAATTTAGCTATAGACAAATTTATCAGAATCTTTTTAATTCTATATCTCTCATATCACAAAATCTTGACATCCTCTTTTCTATCTCAAATTTAATAAATAATATAAGTAAAGCTATAACTAACCTCATAAAATAGGTAAAGAAATTATTAACTCAGAATAATCAAAATTTTAATAATTATTCTAATTAAAGATAGTATAGTAAGTATGTAATACTTATTTATTATCTATTATAATATATTATAATTTTAAAATTTTATAAGTCACAACTAGTTGCAACTAAAAAATACTTATTTATCATCATATTATAATAGTTAAGAAGTCATTTTTAGTTCTAATCAAAACAAGACTTATTATAATTATGATAAAAATGATCATATAGTTTATAACTGTAAATTATCAAAAAAAGAATACAAATAATAATAATAATAATAATAATAATAATAATAATAATAATAATAATAATAACAACTTACCAACAACATGAGCGTTTTGAAACACTTT